ATTCCCCAGCCAGCCATGAAGTCCACTCATCTTAAAGTGGCCAAGTTTGGACAACACTGGTTTAGCTCATCATGATTAAACAAGAGGAATAGTTTTCCATCTCTAAAATGTCAGCATAGCAGATCATCCAGTATATTCTGAAAATGAGTCCACCTTAGAACAAATGGTGGCATACAAATTTAATAAATAAATCAAGGGATCATAGTTGTGTTAAGAATTTGCTCTGGTCATTCCTCCAGAACTGACAGTTTGATGGAGAAATGGCAATAAGAGAGACCTACATTTCTCGCTTGTTTTTTTTTCTTTACATGTTCCCAAGAACTCTTCCTTTAAATCTATATTTTCCTAGAAACTTTCCCCATTCTTTGGAAGAAGAGAATCGTAATTCCCTTGTTTGTTTTTCAAATCACTGAAAAGCAAAGATCTACATGTATGGAGGTCGGCCTCTGAGAAACATCTCTTGTGCAATGAGAGATGTCTTTTGAAAGAAATGAGAGGTGCAACGGCGTGACCTTGAGCAGGTTCTCCTAATTTCTATGGTGTTTGTGAAAGAGATCTTCCTAATGTGTGGTGATCTTGGTCTTTAAAGAATTAGATTTTTTTTTTCTTTAGGACTGAGGGCTTTGCTGGTAATGATGTACCTACACATTTTGGTTCCTGGCTTCTAGGTATTAGATGCAACCTTCCCTGTGATGAATAAACCTCGTGGTAGCGAAAAGATGGTCTACAGAGCCAAGTTCAGTTCCATCACGGACACAGATATTTGCAATGCCATGAACCAGTTGGGTGAACCCAACCATAATGAAGCTCTATCAGTCGATGCACGTCAAGAGCTGGATTTGAGAATTGGCTGTGCATTTACAAGGTTTTTGTCCAGATTTCCTGTCCTGACGTATTTTTTCTTGGCATTGGTGGGGAACTGGTCTGAACATTCATGCACCGTTTTAATTGCATCGTGTTATCTATTTATTCATACAGATTTCAGACAAAATACTTCCAGGGGAAGTACGGCAACTTAGACAGCTCGCTGATCTCCTTTGGGCCTTGTCAAACTCCCACACTGGGATTTTGTGTGGAGCGCCATGATAAAATCCAGTCGTTTAAACCCGAAACATACTGGGTGTTGCAAGTCAAGGTGACCTGCTCCTGATTCTTTCAGCATCTAATTGTTTGGGAATATTACTGGGTAACCTCCCCACCCCAAAATCACATTTAGCTCAACTTTCAAAACTCAGTCTGAAAACCCCATCACATTTCCTTAAGAAAGATTTAAATTAGCAATAAGGTGAACGCTTAAAAGAAGTTGGTCTGTGCAGCTACTTTTCCCAACTCCATAATTTTATGATTCTATAAAAAGTGATCCTTTAGAAATCACTGCTCTGTTCAGGCAGTTTCCATTGTGCATTAAATAAAGTTAACCAGTGTCTGCATAAAAGGTAACGTTATAGTAAAATTACCAAACTCTTTAGTTGGCACAAGGGTTTACTTTACTTTTACTTTACTTTACTTTACTTTACTTTACTTTACTTTACTTTACTTTACTTTACTTTACTTTACTTTACTTTACTTTACTTTATTATTTTAATTTATTTTTTTATTTTATTATTTACTTTACTTTACTTTACTTTTTCTTTGCAATAGATTGACCTTGTTACCTCTCTGGAAAGATGTATAGATAACCTTTGTTCTTTTGTAGAGACATGAAAGCTTGCTAAGCAAATTGCTTTGTCCTTGAGATAACTGCAAATGACTTTTTCTCTGTTATTTTTGCAAGAGCCGCAAGATGAGAAGAAGGATAATGTTGGGGGAAATAGCAACAACAATGATAGAAAAGAGACATACAATACATTTGTGTAACTTTAGGAGCCCATTTGGTGTTGTGGTTAAGGCCCTGGGCTAGAAACTGGGAGAATTGTGTGGGTTCCCATTTAGACCATTCCCCCAGTAGGGACCATACAGCATTCCTTTCAATATTCTTCCTTTTTGGAATTCTGCAGTACAAACGTGACGATTGAAGGGAAGGGCAAAAGTGAAGTTTATGAAGTATAAGAGAGCTAGTTTAGTGTAAGGGTTAAGGCACCAGGCTAGAAACTGGGAGACTCTGAGTTCTAGTTCTGCCTTAGAACGAAGCCAGCTGGGTGATCTTGGGCCAGTCTCTCTCTCTCAGCCCTAGGAAGAAGATGACCAGGGCAAACCACTTCTGAAAAACCTTGCCAAGAAAACCGCAGGGACTTGTCCAGGCAGTTGCCAGGCATCAAGACTGACTTGAAGGCATCAAAAAAAGGATCCAGATTGGTGTAGTGGTTAAGGCACTAGGCTAGAAACTGGGAGACTCTGAGTTCTAGTCCCACCTTAGGCACAAAGCCCACTGGGTGACCTTGGGCCAGTCCCTCTCTCTCCGCCCTAGGAAGAAGAGGTCAAGGGCAAACCACTTCCGAAAATCTTGCCAAGAAAACTACAGGGACTAGGCTGGGCAATCACCGAGAATCAACAATGACTTTCCTTTGTTGTATTTCTTTCACTTTTTTTCCTTAGAGCACTTTTTATGTGTTTTTTTCTTTTTTCCTCTCCTTGACAATGCACGTATCTCCATCCTTATTATCTTGGTAGTTTGTTCTTTTTCTTTCCTTTTTGTGATTAATGAAAAAGCAATGAAAAATGAATTAAAAATAACAATGACTCGAAGACATACACACACACACACGCACGTACAACCTTAAGGGAGGGAGGGAATGAATCCACTGGTCTTAAGTCACCATGAAGCAGAAATATCCTTTCTGTGTTTATCTTTCGAACGACGATATAGCTTACTAGTAAATAAAATACATATTTGGAAACTGGTCTTTTCCCCTGCTTTGCCTTTTCATGCCATCTGATTGTGTTAGAATTTCCAGAGTTATAATTCTGGAGTTAGCTTGGTCTTTCCTAGCCAACCCAGTTACGGAAGGCTATATCAGAAGAACTTGAGAGACGGTATTTTGTTTCTCTAAATGTTTTCATCTCGCCAGGTTGTCCCCGAAAAAGACAGTTGTTTGACGCTGGAGTGGGACAGAGTGAGGATCTTTGACCGAGAAATTGCTCAGATGTTTCTGAATATAACAAAAATGGCAAAAGAAGCAAAGGTAAGACTATGTGAGTGTTGTCTGTAAAAGAACGTGTGTTCCTTTCACAGCTCATTTAATTTAATCGACTTGGTGTCATAGTTAACTTTCATTTTATCGTTTACATTGGGTGCGTTGAATACATACAGTGGTTTGCTACCTTCCTGCTTCCTCTTCTCAATTAGAGAGAATGAAATTTAAATAACTTTTCCTTATCCTCATTCTTATTAAGGGACATCCTTTTCTTGCAGGTGGAATCTGTGAGTAAAAAGGAGAAAGTTAAACAACGGCCTCTTGCTCTTAATACCGTGGAAATGTTGCGGGTCGCTAGTGCTGCTTTGGGTAAGTAGGGGAACCTGTGCCAGAATCCCATCCTCACTTATACTTCATGAAAAGCTAACATCTATGGTCAAGTCGAATAAGTAATAATCCTTTAAATGGGGGGAACAGAGGGATGGATAGACCTAATTCACAGAATAGGAATGTCTTTCCCTTCGTAACTCTTTGGCTAGATTTCTGTCTGCATCCTCAAGAGTCTTAGGGAGAATGCAAGAATGCCTTATGGCAATATTTCTCAACCTTGGCAACTTGAAGATGGTGGACTTCAACTCCCAGAATTCCCTAGCCAACATTTCTGGACTTCAACTCCCAGAATTCCCTAGCCAACTTTTGTGGACTTCCACTCCCAGAATCCCCTAGCCAACATTTGTGGACTTCAACTCCCAGAATTCCCTAGCCAACTTTTGTGGACTTCCACTCCCAGAATCCCCTAGCCAACATTTGTGGACTTCAAC